CAACCAATCAGCCACCAAAAAGCAGCCAATTCAGCACCCAACAGCCAACTCACGTACCTCTAATTGTTCGTAACACCAGCTCCCCTGCTCCCGCAATAATCACCAAACCAGCCACCAATTACCTCCAATATCCACCACCTTTGCACCTCATTGTAGACACACCTAACCACCCTTATTGCGCCATCATGCATGTAGAAAACTCTCATCAAACTCCCAGCAAATATCACCGTAACCAAAGGACCGTCCGTGCGTGAAAACTCATAAGTGTGTGTGCACAACTGGGTTCAAATTGAAGTCGTTGATCTTCATTAATTTGATGATCATATGGTTGTGATGGTGCGTGAGAAGCATGGGATTGATTCCTTTATATTGGTGCAGCGAAATATCAAAGGGTGATGATCGAACAATGGTGATTGTGTGTGTTTGGTGATGTGCAAAGCAGGGGATAATTCTCAAATGAAGAGCAACTACATTCGAAGTCCACTGACTTCGATTCTTGGCATTTTTCCTTCTTTAAATTCTCTTTTTATTTTCTATTTCATTTTCCTTTTATTTTCGTTATCTTTTCTTTTTTTTTTTTTTTTAATTTTATTTTACATTTCCTTTTCTTAAAATTTTCTTTTATTTTCTTTTATCTTTGTAAATATAAATACCCATTTTTGGGGTAACATTGCGTTTCTGGTGCGACTGGCCGCAACATGCGGCAGGGTGCAAAATCAGCAAATGACAAAGTAACCCCGCAGACAAAGTAACCCCAAAACAAAAGTAACCCCTGACTGACTTAGTAATCCTTGACCAAGCAACCCCTGACTGACCTAGTAATCCCAAGTAATCCCTAACTGACCTATTAACCCTTGACCTAGTAACCCGAAGTAACCCATAACTGATCAAGTAACCCCTGACCGGCGACCTAGAAACCCCAAGTAACCCCTAACCGATCTAGTAACCCTTGACCTACTAACCCCTAGTAACCCCAAGTAACCCCTAAACGACCTAATAATCCCTAGTAACCCCAAGTAACCCATAACTGACCTAGTAACCCCTGATCAGACCTAGTAACCCCTGACCGGACCACCTAGTAACCCCTAATCGGATCTAGTAACCCCTTACCCACTACCATAAAAAAACTACCACCAACAACCACCACCAACCTAAACCACCAACGAAACCAAATCTAGAACCCAGAACCACGAAACCACCACTACCCACCCACGAAACCACCACTATCCACGAAAACAATTTGTTCTTCGTTCTTCAATTTAACAAAAAATTAATTAATAAAATTGAACAACTTACAAATTATATAATCAAAATCTTCAAAAAATAAGCTTGAATTCAACATAAATTTCGTAGAACATAAATCTCCAATAGTAAACCATTAATGAAATTTGAAGAAACTTGGGATGTGAAGACGACACCATTAATGAAGTTTGAAGAAAAAGAGGAGAGAGAAATAAAATTGGGGGGGGGGGGTAAAGGAAAATGTCGTAGAACATAATTTTTCAATAGTAAACAAGATCTGGAAATTATAATGGTGAATGATGGAAGAAGAAAAGAGGAGAGAGAAGAATTAAAAAAAAAAATTTATGGTTGGCCGCACTGTATGGCCAGCCGTATATGAAACTTTGTGTTGGGCTAAAATTAAGAGGGAAATTTTTTAGACAATTACAATCTAATTTCTCTCATAATTTTAGCTTATGTAGAGAGCTTCTCTCTCTAGATCTAGGTTAGTTTAGGAGTAGTTTTAGAGAGAGAAAGTGAGTGATTTCAATGGTTATTTGAGAGATTGAATTGAAGATTCAAGATGACATTTGTATAGAAGATCTCCATTATCAATCAATGAGGATTTCTCTTTATTGTTTTGTTAAATTTCATGTATGTTTAGTTTAATTTTGATGATTGATTCTTGATAGTGTAATTGTTCTTGATATTATGATTCTTGCTTTCATTAGTTATTTGTTGATAGATGATGATTCTTGAGTAGTTCTTTTGCTAGGAATTGGGTGAAAATTATATGATTGATTGATTGTGATTAATTTGGGAATTATGTTGATTGATTGTTGATATTAAAGTGATTAATGAAGGGTTGCATGTGTTTTATTCGATTAGGCCTTGAGAATTATGCTAGATTGTACAGTAATTGCTAATGACACAACCAATTGATTTAGGAATTGCAATTATTGATTAGTTTGGATTGTAATTCTCTTAGTTTGTTATTCATAGTGAACCCTAGCTTAACTATTAGGAGATACCTCTTTGATTCCAATTGATAGCTCTTATCATTAGTCTTCAAAACCTTTGATTGGCATGCTCTTCTCAAGTTGCTGCAATTGTCATGATTACTTGTTGATCCTTATTCCTTGTGTTTCTTTTGTTTGGTTGCTTGTTTTGTTAGTTTTTAGTGTTACCTCTTACCTTTGATTTCAACCTAGCTTAGGCGCATAATTGAGAGTGCTTAAATATTAACGTTCCCTTGGGTTTGACCCTTGACTTACCTCTATATTCGTATTTAGCTTTGTTAACTGTTTATAAATTTGTTTGGCTCCAAGGAAGATTGGATAACGACCTACATTTTCCCTACGTCAGATGGGTGAGCTTTTCTCACTGTTGCATTTCCCTATAAATACCCAACTTGGGGTATTAGGTAAAACACTTGAGTAAGTGTTGAAAAAGGCATCACCATTATGAAAACCTTTGAACACAATTGAGTACTTGGGTTTAGGTCGTGCTTAGCTAAATCCTAAGCAATAGTCCGTTTTCGGTGCTCGGGTTGAGGGTGGACTTCGTTGGAGGTCCTCGTGTGAGCAGGGCTAAGAGCTTTTGAAGAAAGAGCTCAATTAAGTGAGCAAAGCACGCTACAAAGGTATTAATCTCTTTCTTTATCTTGTGTTTAAGTTAATTATGCATTATGGTTATAATTATTGTGAGTGTAGTCTTTGCTCGGGTTTCCTTCTGCGGAGGGTCGGACTCACCGAAACCCAACAGCAGTATCGGAGCCTTGCTTATTTATTTTATAATCATATTTTTCTAGGTGTTTTCATGGCTTAATTTTTTCTGGTTTAAAGTTGCTAATCAGATTAGTAGCTCGGTTTTATTATTTTTAAACTCGTATTATAGCTGATTTCAGCCTCGAACCCATATTTTTGCCCAAAAATGGTGATTTTTTGGTGGAAAAGGCGTTCTGGAATAAGTTTTACCCTTTCAAGCTTGTTTTTTTTTGCCAAAAAACGACCAAAATTGCCTTTTTTGAGGGATTTTTCGTTTTAACGATAAATTTTAAGTCTTTTTAACCTTGAATCTTAATGGCATATTAATGGTGGTTTTGTATTTTGTTCTTTCCTTAATTTATATGCAATTTTAAACCTCTTTAAGCATTGTTACTTGATAGTAATTGGTGCTTGAAAGTTTGGTTTTTATTTTCACCTAATTGCAAATCCATTGCATAAAGTCACTAGTGGAAAAACTCTTTTTTGTAACACCCTAATTGTAACGGGCACACATAATGTACGTTACAAAAAAGTATTTGTAACGGGAAAATTGACTGTTCGTTACGAAAATATGCTCATTTGTAACGGGCATATATTTGCACGTAATAAAAAATTACTAATTGATGTAATGGGCTTGATTTGCTTGATATGAATAGTCTTATATTTGTAACGGGCGAAATACCGATACAAATATTTTTAATATGGTCAATTTTATTATTAGGTTTACACAAATTTCGCTCCCCTTTCACTCATTTGGCCGTCATCTCCTTCTCTCTTATCTCTCTCTCTCTCTCTCCTCTTCTCTCTCTCAATGGCTCAAATGCTTAATCTAGTGCTATCAAATTTCAAACCGAAACCGTTTAAATGTCCGAAACGAACCGATCCAAATGAAAACCAAACTGATTAAAAATCGTTTTTTGGAAACCAAAAACCAACCCGAACCGTATGTGAATGAACCCGAAACCGAACCGACCCAAATAACGTTACACCGTGTAAGAACCGAACCCGTTAGTGAACCGAACCAGTTCTAAACCAAACTAAAATCAAACCGAACCGAAAAAGAACCGAACTGTTTCTAACCCGAAACCGTTTGAATCGGGATAAAAACCGTTTACACCGAACCGTTAACAACCCACAACCCATTTGCACCAAACTGTATATAAACCGAACCGCTTGCAAACCGAATCGTTTATGAACCGGATCGCTTATAAACGAATCGGCTACAAAGTGCTTACTATAAAGAGAATATTAAAATCAAGTAAAAAGGTGTTTTAAATGAAATTTAATTATGCACACATGTTTACTACCGATCGAGCATTAAAGAACCTAACTAGTTATAAAGTGAACCGAAAAAGAACCTACTAGTTATAAACTAAACCGAGAAAGAACCGAACCAATTATAAACTAAACCAACAAAGAACCTAACTAGTTATAAACTGTACCGAAAAAGAACCGAACTGTTTCTAACCCGAAACAATTCCCAACCCGAAACTGTTTGAACCGGGATAAAAACCGTTTACAACGAACCGTTAACAAACCGCAACCCGTCTGCACCGAACCGTTTACTACCCAAACTGTTTACAACCCGAACCGAATTAAAACCGTTCAAGAATAAACCGAAACGGAATCGAACCGATAACTATTTAAACCGAACTGAAACCGACATGCGAAACATTTAAACCGATTCCAAACCGAACCGATTTCAAACCGAACCGAACCCGAACTGTCAAACCGTTTTGACAGTGCTAGCTTAATCAGTTAATCCCCCTCCATTTTTCTGTCCTCAATATTGAACAAGCAATAAAGAAGGTCATGTCCTGACTGTGCTCTAGCTGAAGATGCTACCGTGAGATCGATTATTTCTTCGGTGGTGGTTTTGGTCCATTGGTTACCAGTTGCTTGCGATGATTCGGTATATCGAGGGGAATGCTACGTCTTAGCCTGAGTAAGTGGTGGTTTCGGTGGTGGTGGTGGGTGCTGCAGGTGGTGGTAGTGAAGAGACCCACAATCTCCAATGGTTAATTCCTTTGCTCAACGGCAACCACCGTCCACCGTCCACCTCTTTCTATCTCCCCTCATCTCCATTTCTTCATCTTCTTTAAGGTATATTTCATTTTCATTCTTTTCATTTTTGTACCATTTAATGGATTTTTATTTTGTTGGATTAGGTTTTTAATGAATCTGTTTAAAGCTTTGTTCATTTTTAGGGTTTTATAAAATCTCATTAGTAATTTGTTGATTTTTAGGGTTTTAGAGTGGTTTTTCTGTGTTGTTAATTTATTATTATTAATTTGGATAATGTTTTTGTTTATTGGATGGTTTTGATTGTGGATTTTCTGGATTAGGGTTTTTCATTGTACTGTTGTGTTATTTAAATCTGCACGTATCGTCTTTTTTGTTTTATTGAATCTTCATTTACTTGTACAATTTAATTGGGCTTAAAGAATTGATATAAAAAAATGCCCGAGCTTTGATAATATGATGTTTTAAGGCATTTTTAGCTGCATTTCTTGGCTAATTTAGTGATTGAAGCACAAATTATGTATACCATTTTGAAATGTTGCTAAGATTTATATGTAAATTGAGATTATTACGCGATTTTGTTGAGGTTTTGGTGTTTCGATTGCTGTATGTTGCATTAATTTGCTAAGTTGCTTGGATTGTTTTTGCTTGGTTGCCTAAAAAAGTTGGAGTTTTTATTAGATGATAAATGAATTATGAGTTTTTAAGTTTCAGTTTATCAGTGTAACTTATCGCTTGCTTTATTCTTTAGATGAATGTCGAGAAGCTCAAGAAGATGGCCGGTGCGGTCTGCACTGGTGGAAAGGGTAGCGTGAGAAGTTATGATTTTTTTTTTTAGCATGCTGCTAAATTATGGCTAGGAATTGTGGTTAAATGTTTCAGTAGTTATAGAAATGCCTGTTATTAATGACGTGCTGTTGAAATTCCATTTGAAAATAATAACTATGCATACATCACTTGGATAAGAAACCTAGTTGGGTGATTAGTTGTGTGTGTATATGTCATTACTGTACATTTGTTCTGTCGTTGTATCGATGAACTCGTCTAAATATATGGCTTTTTATCATTTATCCAGCTCAATGCTGCCTTCATTAATGAGTTTTTTCTTGTGTGCTTTGGAGAGTTACATGTCTCAGTCTGATGGAATTATGGATGAAATGTCATTTCAAGTCATGATTAGGATGTCAATATACTTGTGTGGATTAGGATGGTGTAGTTTTGCGAACTGTGTTTTCCCAATGATTCTGTTTAATGTGAATTTTCTTGTTTGAACCTTGTTGAATAACTATATACAACTATACAATTTTAAACTTTAGTATGAATTTAATAGAATTTATTTTTTTTTTCTATTAGATGCCCCAACACTTTGTAGGTGTTTTGTCTTGGTTCTTTTTTGATGTTCTTCTGTTACACTTTCATTTGGTTCTTTGTATTGGTTTCTAATGCTATGATTTTTATACAGGTAGCACAAGAGATTAACTTAGAGGCAAAACTTCAGAGTGACTTTGTAGATCAGTTGGTAAGGCATCAGCTTAATCTTCTATATTTATAGCATTTTTTGGTTTGACTCGATATCTTGAATATCTGTTAAGTTGTTTTTTTTGTGATGTCACTGTTTGTTTTCTCTTTTGGGTACTTTTCTCTTCATTCATCAAATGCAACTCTTGTCTAGCTTAAGTATTAGGATGCGTTTTATAAGTATTAATTTTTCAAATATACCTTAAGAAAAGGTTCCCGCTTTCCTCTATTCAGAATTTTCTTGTTATTTTCTATTTTTTTTAATTTTTTTACCTAAACCTGTGTTGCCTTCTTTCTCATTCACCCTCTTTCAGTTGGAATTTCTTTCCATTATCTGAACCCCAACAAAATCAGAATTGGTTCCATATTCTTAATTATGTTGATGAATTCTGTTTCAGTGTTGTTGATACCGGTAACATGAGCAGTTTTCTGGTCTTTCTTATTGTATGTGTGATTGGCCAGCCTATTTTAGGACTACGCTATCTTAAGTATATTATGAAACTGAAGCACTTTTCCATGTGTGGATATTAAGTCAACCTTTGGGGATTTTTGAAATTTACATGCATGAATGAGCTTGCTTTTGTAGTATATTAAGAGGAATAAAATTGGCAGGCCATATATTAAGAGGAATAAAATTTAAGTAACCTAGCTTTCCTCTACTTACGGTATTAAGGGGATTTTATTTAGTTTGATTAATTTCAATGGTGATTCTGGTTGCTTTGGTAGTTTAATTATGTGATGTATTCTGTTCTCATACTCTCTTCTTTTAGATCAATGAGGTGTTTGTCGTGAATTGTGATTGCTTAGTACTAGTATCTTAAACTTTTTTGGTGCTTTTGTCACTGGTTTGTGTTTGTGTGCAGCGGAATGATGTTTCATGGCGGAGTAGATGATTTAACAATCTGTTTGCGTGTTTGTGTGGTGAAGGAGCTTAGGTTCTTCGGTAAGGAACAAGGTGGTTTATTTTATATTAGAAGGGGATGGCATTATCACTGAAAAATTTCCAACTTTGTGTATCAGGCATTGCTACATGTTGCTAAATATTATACTACCTCCGTTACATATTATTTGCAACGATTAGATAGACATTTTTCCTCTCTACTTTATGTCAAATCATTGCAAATAATATGTAACGGAGGTAGTAATTAGAATGTTAAGCTTTATGTGCTCATGTATGTTCTTTGTTGTATTTCGCATTACTTCCTTCTGCGATTACCAATTGTATTGCTGTTGTCTAGTTGTGGTTATCTATCTTCATATCTGCTTAGGTGAGGATTTTCTCACTTTATCAGTGGTCAGTACTTGTAGACACCCATTTGTGTCTCCCCAAAACCAAACCCGGTGATGAGTACCTTTCACGTCGAATCATAATCGAATGAAGTGAAAGTGGGGGGAAAGTCTAGTGTTGCGGATATTTTTTATCTTCTTTTCTATTCTCTCTGTTTTTTAAAACCTATTTTAAGAAAACAGCCAATCAAGTTTGGTTTGGTCCGTGGGTCTAATAATGGTGTAGTTAGATTGGGTTTGAAAAGAGCTTTCAAACGATATATTATAAGCCCAATTCTGCTGAATAATGAGGAATTTTTGCTAAATTACTAAACTGGGCCGGTTTGATCTTGATATGCGGCGCAATGATCTAGAGGAGGGCCTAATATAAATTTATCATTCCTAATGCAATTATAATTGATTTTAGTCTTCTAGATTCTTTTTGAAGGTTCTTTTCATTCCTAATTCAATTAACATTGATAAATTGACTTTGGTTGACTTTTTGGAGTTTTAATCAAAATAAAAGAGTGTTTTTAAGGAAAATACGATTTTGCCCCTCAGTCCGGCTAAATTTTATCAGAATTAAGAAAACGCGTGAGAATAATTGTTAGCGCCTGACGACAGGGATTAGCGCCTGGCGCTAATGCTTGGCGCCTAGCGCTAGCCTTGGCGCCTGGCGCTAATGTTCAGCGTCTGGCGCTAACCTGTTTTATCCTCGTCGAAACTTTCATTTTTTTCTATCCGTTTGGCTGATTTTCTCTATAAATAGCCTCCTCAAACTTCCATTTTTCATCTTCAATTATTATCAATTCTCTCTAATTCTCTTATATTCTCTAGTTTTCTTATTCTCTCTAGTTTTTAAGAATTCTTCTCTTTCTAATTTTCTATACAAAATTCCGCATTCACAAAACCAAGAATACCTAGCCAAATTCGATGTTGCCTTCGGCATAGACGTGAAAGGTTTTAATTTCTGAGGGTTTGGTCTCAAATCCCTCTTTCAATTATTTAATTTAATTGTTTAATTTTATATTTTCCTTGAAGTTACTAACGCGTGTATTTTGTTATTAGAAAGAGGTACGAGGCATCAATGTAAGTGCTTTAATTGTTTTATTGATATTATGATATAGAAATCATGTTTAGGTTGTTTTTATGATTCCTAGTGTCATGTTAGCGCGCTTTGATTTTCCTAGTATCATGTTTAGAAAGATGCTGAGGCATGTAGGAACAATGCTGGCCTCTGTTTGCTGGCGCCAAGTTCTTCCAATACTGAACCAGAAATATGCGTTCTAATTTCGACCAGTTTTCAGCATTGTTTGCTCGATCCTACTTCCGATTAAGTTTTTCTCACTTTTCTGAAACCCATATGTGTTCTACATATGGACATAACCCTCTGGGAATTCATGCTCCATCTACCTAATTGAATGCTTTGAGCAACAGAGGGTACATCCGAGAATGTTTAATTCACCAAACCATGGAAGCGAGTTTTTCTAAACTCGCGGTGTCCCATCTACTCGCGCCAACCCTTCACGGTTAGGCTTCCGCGCGGTGCATCTGGACAATTAACCATGGACCCTCTTTTGACTAACCCATATCCCGAACTTTAGAGAACTAGAGACATGGTTAGGTTGCAAACTCATTGCATCATGATTGTGCCTATTTGACTAATTTATTGGTTGTCCATATTCTATGTGTTTTTCCTAACCATTTGTTTGACTTGTGTTAAGATTAAATAGACTGATTTATGACTAAAAGAACTTTGCCTATTTAATTAATTAATTAATTTGAGTAAATAAAGTCTAATAATTTAATTACAATTGACTTAGTACGACTTTAGGCATACACTGTAGAGTAATAATACCAAAAGCAGTTTCAGATCGACGTTCCAGTAATGTCTCCAAGATTAAACCTGCAGCGCCACTCTGTGGAGCGTACCGCCTAGCAACAGTCCTGTTGTCTGGCGCTACATTGTAAAGAGAGGCGCCAGTCCTATCGTTTTGGCGACAGTTCGGTCTATTGCTCGAGTCATCACCTCATGTCTAATTGAACAATTTGCTAGTCAATTTGGTTAATTTTTACTGGTAATAATACCGTGTCAAGTCATTAATCAAGTCTAAGCACTAATTCCCATGGTCTTGCACAAGAGTCAAAGCATGTCACTCACACTCACCACATAAAGCACACACTAATGCACACTTTGACCATGTCTAAGAGTGTCTTGTATGCTCGTATTTTCCGTCATTTTTAGGGGGGTAAGTCAGATATTAATCCTATAATTAAACAACTTGTTTGAACCCTTTAATTAATTCCCAAAAATGTACACCTTATTTTTGCCAAAAATACGAACCATATTTTTGCTCTTTTTTCTTTTTCAAAACGTAAAGTCAAAGTCAATTTGAACCAAGTCATTAAAACAAAAATGGTTTAATTTAATGTGCGTGGTCAAGAAAGGAAGGGCGTTTGATCAAAGACAACCTTTTTATTCAAGTTCAACTTTTTAACAAACCAATCGCTCGTAAAAGGAAAGCTAAGACAATAATGGCAACTCCAGAGGAAGTTAATGAGCTTGGGAACCAATTGATTACTGTGACTGAGGCGATAAAGGTTTTAACCCTCAAAATCGATGATCTTGTGAAACAACAATAGATGGACCTCATGCAAGAAAGTCTGAGCAAACTGTCTAGTGACTATAAGTTTCAAGGAATTAGCTCACAAGGGGTCTCGGTGGACAAGGATCTTCTTCCGCAGAAGTTCAATGCCAACGACATCCCGAAATTCAAAGCGACTGACAACCCTTACTTTCACCTAAGAGCCTTCGAAACAATAATGAGTATTAAGGGTATTGACAAAAAGGTGTTTCCCTCCTTGTTCTCCCTATCTCTCAAAACTGTTTGCCAACAATGGTTCTTCTCCCTTGAGAAAGAAAGAACCTCTACTTAGGAGTCTATAATAAATGCCTTCATTGATACGTACAAGTGCAACATTCAAGTTGAAACTAACTGTAGGGAACTTGAAATCCTCAACCAGAAGGAGAATGAAGGTTTCACTTGTTTCTTCAACAAATGGAGAGAAACCTCTACTAAGATGATTGAGGTACCAAGCGAAAAAGAATATGTGAAGTTATTCATCAAGAAACTTCAAGAGAAGTACTCCAAGCATCTCAAATACTAGAATAATCTCTATACCTTCAAGGCCGTCTATGACATTGGAATCAATATTGAAGACAACCTGGCTAAGCTGAAAGCTGCTAACCGTAACTCCAACATTGGCTGGAAAGGAAAGAAGAACGACAATCCTTCTTCTTCCAAAACCACCTACTCAAACAATGTTAGTAACTTTAACTTAAGTGAAGTCCTTTCTATGAATAATCAAGGACAAAAGAAACCATTTAGGGGAACTTTACTCTTATAGGTATGAGTTATGACACCGCATTTGACCGACTAAATGCAAAAGGTCTTAAAACTCCTATTAGACCATTTGGGGACCCACCGGTCGAGAAGAGAACAGCTAACTGGAACCCCAATGCACATTGCAAGTATCACCAAGGTAGGGGCCATCTTACCGAAAATTGTTGAAAGCTTAAGGAAGCTATCCAAGATTGAAGGTTGATAATGCACTCTTGCTCACTCGTTGGCTATCTCTGATTAGGAAAACGAGGTTGATCCCTCATCTCTCATCAAACCTATTAAATAAATTCATGCTATTGAAGAAGAGGAGGAGATCTTTTTCGATGCCATG